CCAAGAAAGCAGCCAAGAGCCCCAAGAAAGCAGCCAAGGCAGGCCGCCCCAAGAAGGCAGCCAAGAGCCCGGCCAAGGCGAAGGCGGTGAAGCCCAAAGCGGCGAAGCCGAAGGCAGCCAAGCCCAAAGCGGCCAAGGCGAAGAAGGCGGCACCCAAAAAGAAGTAAATTATCCCAGAAGAGTCCTGCTCTACATACTGTTATCCAACGGCTCTTTTAAGAGCCACCCACACTTTCCCTAAAGGAGCTGAAGCACCGAGGTCGTCAGTAATCTGCAGCAAGGATCCAGTAATTCGTAAGTCGTCAGAGGTCAATTGTGTCTTTCCTCCCCTCACCCTCACCCCTACGATTACCGAATGAAACGCTAACGAGCGCGGTATAACGCGGCGGCTTTAGGGAAGTGTAGACTTTTACATCTTTTTTTTGCCGAGTGATTGGTTTTGACTACCAGGAAGCAATGTTTTATAGTAATGATTTGATAAAAATCGGGTGTACTTTTTTTAAGAAATATGTTTTGTAACAAAAGCAATGCAATTGTCAGGCACGCTACTACTGAGCCATGTCTAAATCTATTGTATTATTTCTCTTAAGACGTCTCCTTAAATGGTTTTTGTCTGTTGGGGGGGGGGAGCTTCCCATAGTTGTGGGGGAGAACTGAGAAGAGCAGGGAAATGGTGAAGGAACTTGAGAGACCCTGGCAGTCCCCCCCCCCCGCCCTTCGCCTGCTGTCTCGGGGGCTGTTTCAGCCACTCTCGAAGAAGAAAATAAGCGGAAGAGGGGGGAGGGGGGTGGACGGACGGCAGCTCTCAGCGAGACACAGCGTTCCCGTGTTCTCCGGCTTAAGAACTAAACGGAAAATATCCCATCTCCGGAAGAACTTGCTTTGGACGGACGTTTTGGCACGACTTTGTTATGCGAAACATGGAAAGCGTTGCTACTATGACCAACCCAAAAATATTATTAATAAACAAGAAAAAAGAAACTAAACAAAAAGAAAACACGGGTTGAGTAATTAATATAAAGCGGCATAACTATAGTACGGATAACTGAGCTCTCTTATGATTTTGTGGGTGGCTCTGAAAAGAGCCTTAAGGTTATTTTCTCCGGAGGAGGCAGAGTGCTGCTTTTCCATCGCGTTCACTTGGCTTTCGCCTTGTGGCTGTCGGTCTTCTTGGGCAGCAGCACGGCCTGGATGTTGGGCAGCACCCCGCCCTGCGCGATCGTCACCTTGCCCAGCAGCTTGTTGAGCTCCTCGTCGTTGCGGATGGCCAGCTGCAGGTGGCGGGGGATGATGCGCGTCTTCTTGTTGTCGCGGGCCGCGTTGCCCGCCAGCTCCAGGATCTCGGCCGTCAGGTACTCCAGCACGGCCGCCAGGTACACCGGGGCGCCGGCGCCCACCCGCTCCGCGTAGTTGCCCTTGCGCAGCAGCCGGTGCACGCGGCCCACGGGGAACTGCAGCCCGGCCCGCGACGAGCGCGACTTGGCCTTGGCGCGCGCCTTCCCGCCCTGCTTCCCGCGGCCCGACATCTCGCCACACATCAGGCCACTCAGAGGGCTCCCACCGCCGAAAACAACAAATTCCAACCGCCCACCGCCCCGCAGCTATAGTCTCGCTTTCCCGCCTCGCCCCTTCGCTGATAGGCTGAGAAGTAGGTCTCCGCCGGGCAGCCAATGAGGAGGCGAATCGCGTTTCGACCAATAGAAAAAGGGCTGGGGGGGAGTTATGACGCGCTGATGTGTACTGGCCAATGAAAGCAGGCAGAGGGAATGCTGCTCATTTGCATAAGGGAGCTATAAATACGTGGCACGCGGCCGCAGTCTCACAGTTCGCTTTTTCGCTGATACGAATAGAGTTTGTTCGGTGTCTGACAGGTGCGTTTGCTGCCATGCCCGAGCCGGCCAAGTCCGCCCCCGCGCCCAAGAAGGGCTCCAAGAAGGCGGTGACCAAGACGCAGAAGAAGGGCGACAAGAAACGCAAGAAGAGCCGCAAGGAGAGCTACTCCATCTACGTGTACAAGGTGCTGAAGCAGGTGCACCCCGACACGGGCATCTCGTCCAAGGCCATGGGCATCATGAACTCCTTCGTCAACGACATCTTCGAGCGCATCGCCGGCGAGGCCTCGCGCCTGGCGCACTACAACAAGCGCTCCACCATCACCTCGCGGGAGATCCAGACGGCCGTGCGGCTCCTGCTGCCCGGCGAGCTGGCCAAGCACGCCGTCTCCGAGGGCACCAAGGCTGTCACCAAGTACACCAGCTCCAAGTAGAGCCTCTCGCGCCGCCAGTTTTAACCCAAAGGCTCTTTTAAGAGCCACCCACATACTCAGAAAAAGGGCTGTGTAATCAAATACAGAAAAAAAACGAGTTCACTTGATTTGCAGTCTCTTAACCTCTACTTAAGATTAGTTACGGTAAAATACTGTTCTGTTTGCTGTTATGAAATACATATATTTTATGTGGACAATAAATGATTTGCTATAACTAAAGTTTTTGTAGCTCAGGCACTTTTTTTTTTTTCCTAGGTGATACCGTTAATTTATAGTTCTATTGCCCTTAAGTTTGTGGTATGTATATTCCTCGTACAATACATCGCTAATTTAAGTGTTCATGTTACATGGGTTGTAAATTGAGGGAATAAACGGCTTCTGTGGTTTGCTAGTCAGGAAAGAATTATTGTTAATGGAAAGTTATCTAGGTACGCTGTTGTAACTGCTATAACAACATCTACCGCTTGATGGTGCTCAGTCTTTTTTTTTTCTGAGCAAAGTGAGAGGTCTACGGTGCAGTGTGCTGTAAAACAATTCATGCAGTAACAAGTTACATATATCTTAGTAAGCTCTTGGCCATTAATAAGCTCAATAGCCCAGTGATTACTGCCACACAAAAACCCTTTCTAAAATTATTTCATTAACTTTCTCAATAATTCTGCTGTGCGTGTGATTTTTTTTTACAGTAACTTACACAGCTTCTCCCTAGGACTGCTTTAGAGAGAGAATATTCTCCCTGTAACTAAAAACACACAGTAAAGATTAATATTATTTCATACCTACCCGACCTTTCCTGTATTCATATGTCATAAATTGCATTTAAACTATTACAAACTAAGAAACTAGCTACTGTGGTCTGACTTCTTAAACTATCAGGGTTTATGATATAGCTACTAATCAGCCCTGAAGTCTTTCAGCCTCAAGCCACAGGCTGTATTCCTCCAGCATATTAATTAGACACTGCTGTAATTGCCGATTCAAGCCATTGTCACCTTCTCTCAAACTGGATCTGAATGATCCTGAAGTCCAAGCATATTCTCTGGATTTGTGAACACAATTAGTCCATACAGGGACAATGAAATCACAAAAGTCAATGTTTCTAGTAGTGGCTGCACGTTGTTTGGTAGTATAGGTACACAGGCAGGCACCAGGTCTCTCTTAAAGACACCACCAATTTATCGAAGTTAATTTCAGCTTGAAGGCTGATGAGCATCTCTCAGATTGGATTTCGGTAAGAGACATCCTCCGTACTCAGTTCTCCAGCAGCTTCAAACGGAATTTAGAAATCTGTTCTCCAAGTGCCTTAGTGCAAACTTTGAAACATAGTTTGCATATTCTGGGCCCCTCTGTATGTCCAGTACCTAAAAAGATGAATAAAATATTGTATATTCCAGTCTCTAGGTTTCTGTGTTAAGGGATGTATGGGTTACTAGGAAGGGACTTTAGAAAATATATACTAAAAAGTGTTCAGATTTTCACAGTGGTAGTGATCTTTTGAGCAATTTGTTAGTGATTATTATTCTCAATAATCAGTCACATAAAAATGAAAGTCAGTTATGTTGTCCTAAAAAAAGATCTTGGTTCAAACTTAGCTATCACAGGGCAGCCCTAGAATAGGAGCTTGGTGGTGCCTTTTGGCCTCCCTGTTCAGGAGTACATAAGCATTCTTTTTGACTTTCTTGACTTTGTATGCTCCATACCACATGCTTCATTAAAACAGCTTTCACAGAAATTCCAGGGGATTATTTTTTTTTTTTTAAAAAGGCTGTTTCAGTATATGAAATTGTTTCTAGACTCATGGAACTCTTCACTCAACAGAAAATAAAATGTTGCTTATGATTGCTTCTTCCAATCTCAGTATGAATAATAAGGCAATATTAGGGGGTTAGAATAGGAACAAAGCATTTCTACCTGCACACACACATCATCAGATCTGATTCTCTAACAAGCCCATTATTTTTCCATCAGTGCTGAGAACAAAGTTTCTGAAATGAAAAAAAACAACTACCTTGGAAAATTTTGTGTACTTACTCTTTTCACCAGATGTAAAAGTAGTAGGACTTGGGCTCAGCAAGAATAGCAAATGTAACAATTTCATCCCATAGGAGGATGAACATTCCAAATTAATAAAGCTAATAGTGTGACTATAAAATCACATGACAGCATATTCTTCCATCTTTTATGTTCTTTAATATTCTTTCCTATTCAGTTCAAAACGGTTTTCTTTGTATTCTTAAATCCACTCTACCCAGATGACATTACCCGGCAACAGTGAGACTGAGACGGAACAGTGTTCAAACACATCATCCTGGTGTAGTAGGAATGATGCTGCTGCCACCTAGACCATGGTCTAGAGCTACACGGATACCATCTCAACAGGGCTGGAGGCCCTAGGTTCTGCTCGAAGAACACGAGCTTCCAATCTGCTGAGTAAATAAGCAGTTTATTTATCTGACATGCAGAGCAGCTCGAGCTGGTCGCCTCCAAGAAGGGACCCCTATCCCAGATTGTGCCCCCGATTATAGCTGTATCCCCGAGCCCAATCACTTAATTCTGGCCAGTGATCTCTCGATTTCTTATTGGTTTTCTTGATCATTGGGTTGGTGTGGGAGCATACTTAAGAGACAATGGACATATATTGAACCAGCCATGCGAGAAAGCAGACTGGCTTTAGGCCTTCGCCCTTGAAGTCACCTCAAGGAGAGAAAAACAGGAGCGACAGTGACTGTTTCACATGAGTCGAGAAAACAGGCCTTACCTTGGGGAGAGAAAAACAAAAGCAACAGCGACTGTTTCACATGGGTTGAGAAAAACAAGTTTGGAGGAGTTGGGCGAGCAGGAGGAAAAAACAGAGATTAGAACGAACCAATCCGAGTCGCATGCTCACCTTGGGCACAGGACTATTAACCAATCAACTAATGCGTGAACACGATTAGGGATAGAAAGATTGTATACAAGGGACAGTAGAATATCAATAAAATGGCTTCTATATGATTCACATTGGATCGTATGAAGTCCTGTTTTCTCTCCTCAGGCTGGCCGCCTTCTGATGTTACCTCATTCTCTTGCAATTGTTTTCTTGGTCCTTATCTTCTTCATTCTGCTTGCATTTGCCGTTTTCAGCTAGTTCCATGTTTGCAGCATTAGTTTTATCAAAACGTTTACTCTCAGTCAGCCCTTGTGGCCTTTTGGCTCCCAACGTGGGGCTTGATGGGTTGAGATAATGACAAACCTGATAAGAGAGCGTTAGAACAAATTTGTCATAAGCATGCATTGTACGGGATCAATAGTCACAATGTTGCTTTTGGGGTTGTGTCTTGTAATCCCATATCTGCTGTATGTGCTCCCTGTTGTGCTGTTTATCATCCTTGGGTCATGGGTCAAGATTATTGTTGTGCTGCGCTTTGTAACGTGGGCTTATGATATGATGAAAACGTGTGCTGTGGCTGTACTCGTCAATGATTAAGAGCAATGAACAAGGCGAAATGGAAGAGGCGCTTTCATCTCTGTACTTCAGGAGCTACTTTATGGAAACTTTTAGTATCCAGTAACTTTTAGTAATTACACTTTTCACCTTTTCTCTTCAGAGAACCAATCTGTGGAGGAGACAGCTTCTTTCACTTCCATCTTCTCCTCCAGGCTAATTACAACAGCATTTGAGAATATCCTTGGAATGCTCAAATCAGCATCCTTCTATTGCTAAGTGCGTCATTACTTCTGAATATATTTCAGGTCTTGCCAGCAATGTGCACTCGCAGCCCAGAAAGCCGATGCATCCTGGGCTGCATCAAAAGAAGTATGGCCAGTAGATCAAGGGAGGTAATTCTGCCCCTCTACTCCACTCTTGTGAGACCTCACCTGGAGTACTGCATCCAGCTCTGGACTCTGCAACATAAGAAGGATGTGAACCTGTTGGAGCGGGTGCAGAGGAGGGCCACGGAGATGATCAGAGGACTGAATCACCTCTCCTATGAAAACAGGCTGAGAGAGTTGGGATTGTTCAGCCTGGAGAAGACAAGGCTCCAGGGAGATCTTACAGCAGCCTTCCAGTACTTAAAGGGGGCCTTCAGGAAAGAGGGGGAGGGACTCTTTATCAGGGCTGAGGGGTAACGGTTTTAAACTGAAAGAGGGTAGATTTAGATTAGGTGTTAGGAAGAAATTCTTTACTGTCAGAGTGGTGAGGCACTGGAACAGATTGCCCAAAGAAGTTTTGGATGCTCCATCCCTGGAAGTGTTCAAGACCAGATTGGATGGGGCTTT